ATAGCATTGTGCATGTGTCACCACCTCATCCACGAAATCTGCAGAACTCTGGGCAAGGGATTCATTAAAATTACACGCCCTCGTCCCATTTTGAAATAATCCTACAAAAATTTCTTGGTTTTGGTGGACGGTCTTAATTTCCACCTTATTAAAGCGAACGAGATACTCCCTCAAAGATTCAGAGGGGCCTTGACGAATGCTGAAGATTTTCGTGGTAGACATCTTTCTATGCTTGTTGCCGTAAATTAATAGACCAGCTTTTTAACCAAGTCCTGGTAGTTTGTGATCAAGAGTCGTGGCATGCTCATGTACCATCTCAAGGTTGCATCTCTGAATGTGCTAGAGAGAAGTTTGCAATTCAAGGAGTCACAAGCTCCAATAATTTTCATTTGTGTTTTGATGAAGGCGATATGCTCATATGAGTTGTTGTGTTCCATCAAATTTTGTCAACGAGGCCAATTTGAAATTCTCTAGCACCAATGCCCCCCATATCTCATCTAAGATATGAAGGGTATAGGATTTTAGTCTCTTCTAGAGGGTCGATCTCCTGATGGTGTTGTTGGATATGAAGGACGTTATTCTCCAAGATTTGATTTTGTAAGCGTAAGTCGTTCATGGCAGATCGTATATTTGTCATAGCATTCTCCTCACCGTCAAACTTACTATTGGCCTGAGTTGTTGAAATTTTGATATTCAGACCACAGATGTCCTAAGAGATGTTGAGACACTATAATCTAACTTCAACATAATGAACAGATATAAAAATTTAAATAGTGCAGAAAACTAAAAGAATACACAAAATTGTTAACCCAGTTCGTTGTATAACAACACCTACTCTAGGGGCTACCAAGTCAGGGACGAAGTCAACTAGATAGTATTAATTTATAGATCCATAGTAAACTTTCACCTAGTTTACAATCTACTCACTTAATCACTATTCTTGCTTAACTTCTACCTAAGACTCACCTAGGTATAAGACCTTTTTCAAATTGCTACCAACCACACTCGATGATTGATCAATAGTAAACAATTCAGAGTTATTTTAGAAGACACGTTTCAAAGACACACAATCATTCACTGCTTAAAAGCTTTAGAATGACTGACATAACTTACAACTCAAAATAACAACCCTACTGTTTTATCAAGATGATATTCGAGAGGCTCACAAATAACACACAAACCCTAACAAAATACAACGTAAGTTCTACACGAAAACTAGGTTTGTGACAGAATATTTAAAACAATCCTCTAAACTGGATTGGGCTTCACAAGCGCAGCAAATTAGCTGTTACAAATCCGTAGGAATTTTTGCACAAAAATATGACTTCAATCATTAGTTTCCTAAATTATCTCCTTTATTAGAAACTAAGAATACTCCTTGAATCCAGCTTAAATCTCGTAATCCTTAAATTGAGCACCGCATATGATATCATAATATTTCCAGAATATTATTCATCTGTAAAATCTAAAAGAATCCAACAGTCCAGTTGTACATAGGCGTGATGTCAAATGATCCTACATAGGACATCTTATTCAACATGTTTCTCCAGTTGCTAGAACATCTTCTTTCAACATGTTTATACTAAGTTAGTTTTACTAAACATAATACCAATCACAAAAATAGAGAATTAATAGTTACTACCTTCTAGTTCACCATGATAGACAAAGAGAACGAATGTGAGGATAACAACCTAGTTGAATGGTGTAATGGTGGCCCATGTCAATTTTACTGGCCTCACAGTAGATGTCAATTGCACTTGCTAAAAGTATAATACGTGACCATCTCTTGAGTTGTGAAGGGTTGTTAGAGTTTTGTAGGATTGTCATGGTGTTAGAACAAACTCACGTGGTAATGGTGAGAAGCTCTGTATATAGATTTTGTACTTTCCATTATTATAAGAGTGGAAATAGTATAGTTATCTCCCTTGTTTCTTTGGGAAACGTGACTACCTCTATCTAACTCTCTATCTCTCCTGTATCTTTAAAAAAACTAGGACATGTCACCTCCATATTTCCATCACCTCCATATTTCCACTGCATTCACATTTCCACATGAAGGTGGACGATATGAGAAATGAGCTTCATAAACAAATAATAGACACTTATTCTAATAAACGAATGACTAGGAAGTCAGTGTGTGTAGCATGTTATGTCGACCCTTAGTGAACCTTTCACAACGTCCTTTATAGATCTTTTACAATTATATCAATGAAATATACTAATATTTTTGTTTCTTTTTTATTTTTTATTTTTATTTTATGCCTTTTGATGCTTTGATCACATACCAATAAATAGGAAAAATAAAATATTACAAGTTCATAAGATCATCTAATATTTTCTATCTAATTTGTGGCTAATCTCTTTCTCACATATCATGAATCACTAAAAAAATTTAAATAATACATAACTCATGTGAAAAGTGTATACATAAAAAAGTAAAACAATTTCACAATTTTATAAAGTGTTACTCCTCCATTTTTGTTTATCTTGTCTTTAAGAAAATTTTATATTAAAATATACATCGTTTTACAATATCAATTAATCATTAATATTATTTTTTTATTTTATTTTTAAATATTTATTATTTATTTTTTAATTCTTTAAATTTATCTTCCCATTAAAAAAGGGATAATTTTACAAAATTATTTATTATTTCTCTTTTTTATACAACAATAATTACTTTCTTTTTAATGTGTTAAAAGTCAAAAAGGACTTATTATGAAGAGAGTAATACATATGATTTAGTTCATTCAACTTTTATCTATATTAAAATGTCGAGTATGTGACTTACATATGTTGCCAAACACACAACATACATATTTTTGGCATCTTTTATATTTTTATTACTACCATAATTATTTTACTAAATATGCATGATAAATGTGACTTTTCTTTAAATATTTATTGATCGTATCTGATCAGAATAAACCGTCGCAGCTGACTCGAACAAATGTTGAGAGTGAAGTGGGAGGTACTTGCAAGAGACTCTGATGTCAAAATGAGTTTGGGAATGAGCAAGCAAGTCTGAGTTTAGAAAGTGTTGAATATTTGACCCTCTCGAAAGAGAGCGTATTTATAGCCCCCAGCGCTGAGTCAATGTCTCTTTATTAGACTGATCAAGCAAGCGCAACTTAGAGACTGTCAAATTCTACATGAGTAATGGGGACCCGCACGTTGTCCTCTACCTGGATGACGTCCTCCGCAAGGTCAGGAGGATATGGATGCGATCTTTCTGGGACCACGAAGACTCCGCAATATCAGGAGACATTAGTAGTCAGTCCTACGAGGAAGATGCTTGGGAGGAACGTCTGCTCGTCGTGGGTGATCCCCGCTAGACACAAGCTCGATAGGGGATCAATCTTAGTCGATGAGCTAGTCGAGATGTCCTCGAAGCCTTCATGGTCGGGGTGTGAACGTCCTCATTCTATTCGGACGTTGTCCCCGCGCGATGAGGTTATCTTCTCGCGAGAAAAAGTTAAGAGTTATCCGTCGTGTTCGAGGATAGCACCGATCAGTAGTGCAGGTTGACCCACTTAGATTGAACCTCACTGAAATTTTAGGTCAAAGACAGACCGAATCCAAAACGTATGAAATTGATAAAGTTATTCATTTCATAACAATTATAAGAATCTAAAATTATTTCAAAACCATTTACAAAATTCATTGTATCACCTAATTAATATTTAATAAAAATTTATCTATGATATATTAAATAATATAAGAAAAATTAAATTAAATTGAATTATTTATTTAGTACAGATTTATCATTTAAAAATTAATTAATAAAATTTTAAAAAAATAAATATTTAATCAATAAAATTAATAAATTAATGTAATTCAACCAAAGATATTTATGCCTTTTTTACAAAATTAAATATTTATTTCTTTTTTATTTCTCTCTATTTCTTTTATATTAATTTATACATTAAATTTACTCTATTTCTTTCTTTTCATACTCTTTCTTACATTTTTTTTATCTTTTCAACTTCTTCTTTTAACCAAACATATCATATTTTAAAGAATTTATTTCCTCTTTGAAAATAATTGAATTTCTAATCTTAAAAAATTGTCTCAAAATAATTGTTTTTTTATTTTTTTAATATAATTATAATTAATTTTTATCAATTTTATTATTTGTATATATTCTTTTCAAGTATGATAATATTTTATAATCAATAATAATAAGAATAATTTTATAAAGATATTATTTTTATTGATTCAATCATTATTTTTCTTAATCTTTTATGTAATAATTTTAATCATTTTTAAAATATTCTCTCGGTTCTTTTTTAAGTGTAACTTGTGAAAGAAATATTTATTACTTTTTAAATGTCATTTCAAAATTCAAAGTAATAATAATTGTTATTTTGTCAAAATTATCATTTGTTATTTATTGTAGAAAAATAAAATAAAATAGAATAATAAAAAGATAAAGATATCATAGCACACAAAAAAGTAATTATTATTTAAAAGTAATTATAATTGTTAAAAAATATTAAATATATTAATATTAATAATAAAATTAATATCATTTATTAAAATACTCTTATTTATTATAATTAATAAAATAGTTGAAAAACATGAAAATTAATAAATAAAAATATAATAATGAAAAAATAATAAATATTATATTAATATTTTAAAGAGACATGTAGATATGAAAAAAGTGGAAATGAAATCTCTATTGAGGAAACAATTTCTTTAATATTATATCTAAAAATCAAAAAGTGATAATTAAGAGGAAAAAAAAGGGGGGAAGTGGTTCAGAGTGTGTCATGTAATAAGAGAGTGTACTACATCTTATGGAGGGAGTTTATTTATAATATAAATATTTAGATAGAATAAAGAAATTTGACCAGGTCAAAAGGTGTGGTGGAAAAGCCCCAAATCAAAACACGGTTTTCAAAAAGACAACTGTATAGTTGCTTCTTTAAGTTAAAAGAAGAGCGGGAGCACAGATGGATGGGCAGTAACCAAGACAACAAAGGCCCCACACACCAATGAGGCAACCCATCAATTCATTCTCACCAATCCATCCATATCCACATGCTTCACTCTCCAACCAACGCCTGCATGTTTGTCTTTTTTTGTTTAGAAATTTCTATACTTGTTTTTTCTTTTTCAAACATCAAATAAAACACACTGTACTCCACATTCACTCTTCTCAACAAACTCAACAACATAATAAAAGTACTAATTTATTACCTTAAAATAGCATAATTTATTACAAACTACTACAGTAAGAGCTTTTACAAAAGATTAACATTTGTGCTGTCTCTGACTTGAAACTTTAGCTAATGCTAATAAGCCCTTTACCTTAACAACCACTTTACCTTATTACAAATAAAATAATAAGATTAATCTAACCCCTAATCTTTCACTGTTCTTTCTTCCTCCAACTGGCAACTACTAGTGTTCCCAAAAAGCTGCATCACTCACAAAAACCGGATGATTTATTGTCACTAAACTAACCAAAACACATTCTTAAATCTCTCATCTTTATGCTATACTACAATATTATTTTTTTTAATAAACTAAAAAACACAAGACCCTTCTAACTAATTTCTTCATCAGTGAAGAGTAATTAGAATATTTTGTTTGAAACATTGTCAAATGAATCAATAAGTCCATTCCTGAGGAAGACGAGCTTCGTAGCTTGCTGCCTCTTCACGTTGCATCCTTAATCTCTGCTGTATAAGAAGAGCGTTTTTCCTTGCCAACAATGATTCTGCAAATCAAAAACTAAAAAAATCAACAAAAATTCATGCTAAAAAATTACACATGTTTTGGTCAAAATTAACTTCCTCACTTTAGTAACAAAGTACTCACCATAATCCACGCCGAAATCGTTCGAGAAACGAGGTTGTCTCCCACCATTATAATCATCAATGTTCATGTTTAAAGCATGAATCACCCTTGTTGGGACCAAAACAGAAGCACAATCTTAAAAAAAAAAAAAAAAAAACAGTGAGACCTTAAAAATAAAATAAAAAAACAAGTAACCAAATTAAACGAAAATCACAAGGGGTTTAGGATTTTACTTGTTTTGTTGCGAGATTCCGGAAGAGGGGCCACATATTGACGAGGTAAGAACACCCCTGTTCCACCACATGCTTTTTTAACACCAGATCCAATTTGAGAAACGGGTCGAGACCCGGATCCGTTAAAAAGAACCGGATTATTTTGGTGCTTAGCTTGAATAGGAGAATGCCAAATCGAACGAGGCATAGGGCGCGTGCATTTCACCCCCTCATAATCATAGCCTCTGTTCAGAACCTGAGTCGACCAGCTAGTTGCTTTCGCTTGTGCAAGGGCGTGGGCTTGAGCCTGGGCCTGGGCCTGGGCTTGTCTTCCCCAAACAGAATCACACTGTTGCTTCACTTGATTGTATTGAGCCTGAATAATAATTAAAAATAATTAATTATTAGTTAATAATTAAAAATTAAAAAACGCGTTGGTAAAAAATAACTCGATGGCGCCGTTTCAGAAACGGTTACGAAGGAAACTCACAAGCGAAGGATTAGGGTTTGAGAAAAACGCCGCGGCACGATTCTCCGCCGCAACAGGTGGTGGAAGGCCACCGAGTACTCCTCTTTTGTTCTGAATCTCCACCAACGAAGCTTCAACGCTCATCTTCAACCTAGCGACCTCACCCGCAGCAGCGTACAACACATCCCAAGCATCGTTCTCAGCGGAAAACGGTACAGTCGTTGGCGACGGAACACGAGTTGAACCATTCGGACTTCCGTCGCTCGAACCACCGCTTCGACCGGACCAGCTTCCGATTCTGGCTAGCGTCGACTGCGGCGAACCAGCCATAACTCGAATCTTCTCCTAAATCATCAAAAAAATCATTAAAAAACAAAAAAAAAACTAGTTAGTCTCATACAAATCAAACAAAAAAAGCTTTCAAATCTCAAATAAAGACTCCGAAATAGCGGTTACCTCAGGTTTCTGAACAGTGAGTTGCTCCTTCCGAGTTTCATTTAGCGAGGCTTGACTCAGTCGACGAGTCAACCCAGCAAAGAAATCCTCCTCGTCACTGTTTTCAGTTTCAACCGAGTCAATCTCGTAAGGAAACTCATTAGGAAAACCAAAAGCAGCATCAAACTCAGCACGAATCTCACTCTTCTCAGCACCGTCTTCAGAAAGTTTAGCCATAGCAAAAACAGAACAAAAAAGAGAGAAAACGAGAAGACACAAAAAAAAATAGGGTTATGGTTATTGGAATTGAGGCAGTTACAATGGAAGTTGAAGTTGCGGGTTGTGGAAGATATAATAATTATACAGCTGTGTGTGCTAGTGTTTGCAGGGTGAGGGACCCACAAAATAGAGAGAAAAAAAAGAAGATAGAGAAAAAAAGATCAAAAGATGTAGAGAGAGAAAGTAGTATAAAGTGAGTTGGAGTATAGAATGTTGAAGACAAGTTGCTTTTATTAAGGTTACAGGGTCCCTTTAAGACAGTTCAAATTAAAAATAATACATATTGGTGGAAAATGAAAGAGAGGGATAAAGATTTTGTGAAAATTGAAAACAACTGGAAACAAATGGCCCAGTTGTTGAGACATTTGTCCTTGCATGCAACTCACCTGCCATTTGTCTATAATCTTTATATTTAAATTTAAATTTAAATATTTTTAAAATAACTAATTGATAATTTTGAAATTTAAAATAATTTAGCGGCAGAGATATTTTTTATTATTGGATTGGGTGGAATGGGATTTTTAATTTTTTACTGTTTCTCATTCTTCTTACTTTTTTATTTGTTAATTTTTTGGACTTGTGTGTGACTAGGGAATTACTCTTCACTCACCTAATTCCACTGAGTACCACCGAAACCCGATTTTTTATTTGTCGTTATTTGTTTTTGGGTAAATTTGGGTCTTTTTGCACCATTCATTTTGAAATTTAAAATCTAAAACTTGTGACTCTTGTTTTAAATTACTCATAATGTTTTTTTTTTCTTCCGGTTGTGCCAGATTTGTCGTTGATGCTGACCTTTGTACATAAGGGTTTATGTATAATTTGAAAGTGGGATTGTCTTGTAATGTTTGTAGATCTTTATTCAAAATAAATGAATTAAATGAATGTGTACAAAAATCAATTAAATGAAGATGGTTTTTTGTTAACCCTAAAGATGGCTTAAAATCAATTTTTACCCTGAAGATTATTAGAAATCCACCCTTCTTGATGAATAAGATAGATATTATTGGTAATAAAAAATTTAAAAGAAAAGAAGAAAAAGATAATTATTTTCTGTAGAGTTTCTCTCTATTTACAAACTGTGAAAAATTTCTTTATTCACTTGCAACTGTAAATTTTATGAATACAACTTAATTTATTTGATTACTAAAATAAGGGATTACTCTCTCTATTTATAGAATTAGGTTAGTTTGCTCTCTAAGTCAAAGCCCAAAAGTATGAAAGCTCAAAATACCTATTTTAGAACAAAATCAAATCTATATATTTTAGATCTATATCAAATTTAAATCTAAAACCAAATCAAATATGTGTGCGGCCTGCTTCAATACACAAGCTTTTCGACACCAATAATCACAATTTAACACACCACTTAATTTATTATGTCTAAACTATCAATATTCATCATGGCTCTTAGTCTTCTGAATATTTCGACTTGCACACCCTCTATCATGATGTCTGCAATCTGATTCTCAGTTCTACAGTGTTTCATCTTCATCTTTCCTTCTGCTACCTGCGCTCGAAGATAGTGGAACCTCATTTCGATGTGCTTGCTTCGACCATGTGCTATCGGATTTTTCACCAGATTGATAGCTGACATGTTGTCGATCTTCATGGTAATTGCTCTATGATATTTTCCTGTTATCTCTTCGACCAAGTTCATCATCCAAGTTATTTGACATGCACAAAGAGAAGCAGCTATGTATTCTACTTCGCATGATGATAATGCCATTACTGGTTCCTTTCTCGAAATCCAAGCAACTGATGCACCACCTAGCATAAATACATATTCTACTGTAGATTTTTTATCCTCAGCATCACTACACCAGCTCGAATTAGTGTATTCCACTAACTTGCATTATTTTCCTTTATCAGCTGCAGGAAACAAAATGCCATATTCGAGTGTTCCTTTGAGATACCTTAGTATCCTCTTTACTGCTACTAGATGTGATACATTTGGCTTCTGCATGAATCTACTTACCATACATATTATGATACGGTGGCAGAACCGACTGTTATATACTGGTTTTGCGTTTGTATTTGCAAATGTTACGGTAAGCAAGAGTCGCCACCGACTTTTCTTTTATCCAAATTAAGGAAAGGGTGAAAAGAACAGAAAAAGACCTTTTCGAGATCATTCTGAGTAAGGGGTAGACTATGGAAAGGGAATGTGTTAGCACTTTTTCCATCTGTAGTTATCTATGGGCTCTTAGAGGTTTGCTTATTTTGAAATACCTTTGTGCTTTGTGTGTTTTGAAAATGTTTGAAAAATGCCTTAGTGCGGCGATTTGCTTTGCGTTTAACTCTTGTATCAGTCCTCAAGAGTGTTAACAAAGCAAATGTTTTGAAAATTGCCTTTGAAAAGTAGTATTTGTGTAAGTGCGAAATGTTTTTTGAGCAAAACTTCTAACAGCTATTTACTTTTATACTCAAAAAGGGTCGTTCTTTTCCTCATATCCTTTAGACAGCGATATTCTACTATTAGTGAGTAGGTAGCTCTATCGTTGGATGTATGAGGGACATCGAAGGGATGATAGAATCACAAAAGCAACTTGTGAAGACGCTTTAGCAATTTTGTTTAGGGACTATATCATTTACCGAGAAAGCAACTGTAGGATCATCGAGGGACTATGATCTTTTTGATTTACGGGTCTTTGCTAAAGCGTTCCTGCCTCATGACTATTTTACTTCTAAAGGCAACCAAAGTGGGGTACCCTAGAGGTGTATATGTGCGAGTGTATTATGTTCAGTTATTTTTTGTCTTTTCGTTAAGTTTGCTAGTGTTTGATTATTAGTCTTTTCATACACGCCTAGTTACTAGCAGTTAATATTTTGCAGAAATTTAAAGTGCGGGAATTCAAATTTACGCTATTACAATGCTTTGGGGAGGGGGATATTTACATGTCTAAAAATGAGGGGGATAAAATAATAAATATTCTAGTTTTAATCTATTATATCCAGTGAGCAGGTATGTTAATAATAAAAATACGAAATTAAATAAACGCGCGTGAAATTGAAAATAACGTCTAAAAATATCCTAAGAAATAAAAATCTTTTTGTTTTGTTTTTTTATGTATAAAAGAAAATAAAGCCTAAATTTTTTTAATTTTAATTTTAATAAAGATGTTAAAATAATTAATTAATTCATTTACAAAATTAATTTAATTAGAAAAGACATTAGCCTAATGTTTTTTTATGATTTTGATTTAAAGTTAATTTAAATAAAAAGGATCAATAAAGAAATAACAAAAATAACAAAAATAAAATATAAAAGGGGCATCCTTCGATCCAAGAAGAAAAGGGAAGCTTCGATCCAGAGAGAGTTATGGCCTTTCGATTCATGAAGGATGTTGCCTTTCAATTCTGTTAAGAGGATGAGATTTTTGATCCAGGAGGGATGTTGCCTTTTTCGATACAAGGAAGGAGTTGCTCTTCGAATTGAACCTGCAAGACAAATGTTGGCAAAAAATAAAGATGCAGGACATGGGTATCGAACCCATGTCCTTCTCCCTAATTCTAATTTATGTCCTCATGCCTAAGCTTATTTTGACTTGAAATGAACTATGCCGTGAGTTTCGAAAGGCAGATCAGGTCATGGCTTTCAATGGCATGATTTTATTTCTGCATGTTATCTTGTATATAATATGCTCATATAAACACAAATGATATTAGCAGCACATATATACTAACAATATGTATTTAAAAGGCTTAGAAATGCAGTTTCGACTTGGGTAAATCCTTACCAACTGGAGATGCTTCGATTTATGAATCTGGGCGTAGCTTGGCTTGGAGGAGATTCTTGGGAATCTCAGGAACACAAATGTATCCTTCGTCTGGATTAAGGGTGCCTGCAAAAAACTAGTTAGAATTTTGATCCTTCTATGGTGGTGTGAGTGTTCTCTTTTTATAGGCAATTTGTCCGTGTGTGATACAACACTTGTGGTCTCTTTATATAAAGGGGGTAAATGGGACAAGAAGGCAAAGGTTTAAACAACCTTGATTATGTGTTTGAAAGACATGAATGAGAGTTTGTAACGTTGGCCAAAAACATGGGATCTTGTCCTTTTTTGAAATTTGAATGTATGTGGACATTTTGGCTCCTTCGAATGCCCTCTAGTGTTGCTCTTCGACTGGCCTCAAGTTACCTCTTTCAACTGGACCTCTTGTGTAGCCTTCGACTGGGCCTTCTGTATACTTCTTCAAATATACCTCTTGTGTATCCTTCGACTGGCTCTAGTATTACTTCCTTTGAATGGGTCTTTAGATGGTCCTTTTGGTGTTCCCTTCGAATGGGCCTTTGGTGTGTCCTTTGCATGGGCTATCATGCGTGTTGAAGTGTATACAATTGTTTTAAAGGGGGGTCAGCACCCAGTCGAAACGGGCACAAAGGCAGCCTATTCCTTGTGGATTCTAGCATGAAGCAAGTCAAGGCATGCGTAAAGGAGGCCATTGCCTAGGCGAAGCTGGCACAAAGGTGGCCAGTGCCTTGTGGTCGAAGGCAACTTTTTTGCTTGGCGCATCAAAAGAAGCTTTTTTCCCGGTGGATCGAAGGCAGCCCTGAAGGAGTCTTGGCCTTGTGTGCTGAAGGCAGGATGAAGAGGCATGTGTGCACTGGTGACACGTTGAGGGGTCTTTTGCCCGGTGTGAGCTTTGTGAATCGAAGTCCAGTTTGGAGAAGTTCTTGCTTTGTGCGCTGAAAGCACGCCCAGAGGGATAATTTTCCTAGTAGAAGCAGGAAAAAAGCTTGCTTCAAGGAAAACAAATGCCCAATCGAAGCAGGGATCCAGATTGCATGCAGGTAGTCATTGCATTTGCGAGTCAAGCCAGCATGCAAAGACAATGGTGCAATAGAAGGAACACTGACAAGAAGCCCTTCCCCTTTGGGTCGAAGGAGGTTGTTTTAAAGTGAAAACATGCCCAGTCGAAGCTGGTGTGCAGCAAACAAGCAGAAAAACAAGGCT